AATTGGATGTATGCATATGCTCAATTTAAATTAAGAGTTTTAACTAAACAAACACATAAAATGATTTCTTTTAAATTTTTAGTGCTCGGGAGATGGTGAAAAATTGAAGTTTACGAAAATAATTTTTGGTTAAATAAAAAATAGTTTAATATTTTTTATTTTGAAAAAGAGTTAATTTCATATTTGGTCTTAGATTTATAAGTGACCGTCCATTTTTTAATTCTTTTTTTATTAGAACATTTTATTTTGGTCCTAGTATTATTGTGATATGACCAATTTTGGTCCTCTATCAACAAAATCGTTGAAATTTCGTTAAATTGAATGACATTTTGATCTTTTTAATTCAAATTGCATTAATCCGTTATATTTTTTATGTTTATTTTTTGAAAAAATCATAATTGAAGAGCTAAATGGCCTTGTGTTTAACGAAATTTCAACGATTTTTTTGATAAATGACTAAAATTGGTCATTTTACAATAATACTAGAAACAAAAAGAGATGTTTTGATAATAAAAAAAAAAAGAATTAAAAGTGAACTGTCATATATAAATCTAGGATCAAAAATAGAATAAATTCTTTTGAAGAAGTTAATTTTTTAGGGGAAGTTATTTTCGAATCCAACTACTTCTTCTTCATGACTCTTTTTAAAAATACTTCCTCGACTTTCTTCCACCATCGTCCACTTTTTACCTAAAACAGGATTAAAATAACGTCTTAATCACTTTCTCAAAAACATCATTAAAAAATCGTAGGAAGAAACAAGTGAGTCTCCTCTTTTACGGATTAATGAGAAAACATTGATCGCTGTCTACTGCTTAAATGTTCTGTCCGATGTACACAACCCTCAAAAATTGGGCACGTTAGTACTTAATCCCCAATCTTTTTAATTTTTTTTGGTGAGTAATCCCCAATCTTTTTGCCCCACACGCCAAGTTACATCATCTTCAAAAAGCCGCCTTGATTTTTCAAACAACATTGTTTGAAAAATCAACGCCTTTTGAAGATTATGTAACTTATATATCGTTCAGATAAGAACAGATGTTTATAGGACAAAATTGAAAATCAGTCATAACTATCTACGTGTCAAGATTTAATAGATTAGACGTAATTTTTTTTAAAAAGATGCAGTGATATTTTTGTAAATAACTCAAACATTGATGTAAGTAATATGTGATAAAAGTGCAAGTAAATGGTGCAAGTAAAATTACTTAAAAGTGCAAGTAATTTACTTTTTTAACTTTGATGCACTTAATGATAACGTTAGGTGCACTTAATATTGATACTCAATGTACATTATTTGTTACACTTTTAATACATTTTACTTGCATTTAGGTGTACTATATGAAACCGTTACTTGCACTTCAAAGTTCAATTATTTATGAAAATGTCATCGCGTTTTTTTAAATAGTATTTCTGATCCGTTAGATCTGGACATGTGGACGACTGCGATTGATTCTTAATTCTTTCCTGAGCATGTGGTTCTCACCTGAACCGTCTCATATATATATATATATATATATATATATATATATATATATATATATATATATATATAACACTGTTAGTCCACTTAATTATAAGATAAATATAGTTTTCATCCTTAACTAATTAATATTCATATAAAGTTGTAATAGTGTTACCTAATTAATCACTAAGGTAGTTTATTTAGTTTGAATGGATATTGTTATTTTGGATGGAAATTAATGGTGGAAACAGGACATATCGAGATAAACCTCAACAAATTAACATTGAGCATGTTATAGAATCTAAGGCCTAAGCCGATAAGTAGCAATCATTATTGTATGGACCATGGTCCACACAAGTTGTAAGGACCATATTTTGTCTACTGTAAAATAATGTACACTCAGTACAAAAATAATGTATATTCAATACAAAAATAATGTACATTGTATTCAGGGGATGTACATTATTTTTGTTCTGAGTGTACATTATATTGTATAATATACATTCAATACAAAAATAATGTACATTTAGCATATTAAAAATGTATTTTTTATTATAGTCCACATAACATTGTGTGGACCATGGTCCACACAATAATTTGCCGATAAGTAGGTATTTTAGGGTTAAATCTGAACTTTTTAAAGGCCGACTCAATATATGGGCTATTTAAAAAGTATTGGAGCGTTATGTTCTGTGTGCACCATGCAAGGTGCACACAGAATTGAATCCATAATTTCTATACTATAGATCCATAATTTCTATATTATAAATTCATAATTTTTATACTATAAATTCATAATTTCTGTACTATAAATTCATAATTTCTAAACTGTATAGTTATCAAATTATGAATATATAGTTCAGGAATTTGTGAATACAGAGTCCAACAATTGGAAATATGAACATTGAAAATTATGAACATAGAGTTTTGTAATTGTGAATATAGGGTTCAATAATTATGAATTTATAGTATAGAAATTATGGATCTATAATATAGAAGTTATGGATCCAATTCTGTGTGCATCATGCATGGTGCACACGGTTGCACAACATAATTTGCCAAAAGCCATCGTTATGCTGTAGAACCGTGTATACCTTGCAAGGTGGACACGATTCTATATTCATAATTACTGAATTATATGTTCATAATTATAAAATTATATATTCATAATTTTTGAACTTCATATTCATAATTATTGAATTTTATATTTACAATTACAGAACTCTATGTTCATAATTACTGAACTATATGTTCCTAATTATAAAACTATATATTCATAATTTTTGAACTTCATATTCACAATTATTGAATCTCTATATTCATAATTACAGAACTATATGTTCATAATTATGTTCACAACTCTATGTTCATAAATATAGAACTACATATTCGTAATTATGAACAGTTTTGAAACCGTGTCCACAGCATAATTTGCCCCTTTTAACGGGAAATTATGATGTGCATGGTGCACACGGTTGCAAAAATGGCGCCGTTTTACTTTTAAAAAAAAAATCATTTTCAATTGCCGTTAGTTACGTAAATATATGTTCATAATTTTATAATTTCACATTCTGAATGTATAGTTATGAAGTTATGGATGTGTAGTTATGCATGCAATTTTGAATGTATAGTTATGAAGTTATAATTTCACATTCTGAATGTATAGTTATGAAGTTATGGATGTGTAGTTATGCAATTCTGAATGTATAGTTATGAAGTCATGGATGTGTAGTTATGCAATTCTGAATGTATAGTTATGAAGTTATAATTTCACATTCTGAATGTATAGTTATGAAGTTATGGATGTGTAGTTATGCAATTCTGAATGTATAGTTATGAAGTTATGCAATTCTGAATGTATAGTTATGAAGTTATGGATGTGTAGTTATGTAATTCTGAATGTATAGTTATGAAGTTATGGATGTGTAGTTATACAATTATGAATATATAGTTATAAAGTTATGGATATAGTTCAAATTATGCACAACATAACGCTGCTAACGGCAATCAAAACTATTTTAAAAAAAAATTAGACATCAAAATAACGTCATTTTTGTAACTGGTACACACGATTGCACAACATAACGCTCCCCTTTTTACTTAACAGGCATAGTCAAGAGAGGCCCAAACTCAGCCAAGTCGTGGGCCCCTTGATAGGGCCCAACCTATTTCCATTCCCTATTGGATACCTAATAACACTAATATAAAAATGACAAAAATTGTATTTTCAAGTAAAAGTTTATTCTTTATTGATTGTAACTCAAATTAGAGATTGTCATTTTAACTATGCATCCTCCATTTTTGTAATTCAATATTATTTTAGTTGATCTAGGGACTACTATTGTATTTTCCATACTTCTAATCGATTGCAAAAATACAAAATTTTCATTGTACAAACTCACACATATACATATAAGTAATTTGCCTAGATATAATCAGTTGCAAAATTGAAAAATATAATATCAATCCTTGTATCAAATAAGAAAGTACTACCCTTCAAAAAAAAATTACTAAGGGTCTGTTTGGAATTATGGTGTTTGACTAGACTGAAAATTGAGAAGTCAAAAGAAAATGGGGTCTGGTCAAATGAAAAATGATCTCATTTTTTCGGAAAATGACTTCCCTTTTTTTTGGGAGAAGTCATTTTCCATCTCCTTAGACACGCTCTTCACTCCCTTCGGCCTTCCCCTTCAACATTCAACAGACAAAACTCAACCAACACCTCCTCCTCCAACAATCCAACAACCACAAAAGCTTCACCAATAGATCTCTACCAACACTAGAAAAGCTACAGAAATCCTTTTCCAGTTTGATTTTTTTTTTCTCAGAATTTCATAGATCTAAAAAAAGTGTGTTATTTTCCAGAGAAAGTTCCAGTGTTCGTCACTGATTTCCTCGCCCGGAAACCAGGTCCGGCTGAGGAAACCAGTGCGAACTGGTTTCCGCTGCGAAACCAGTGAATTGGTTTCCGCGAAAACCAGTTCACTGGTTTCGCATCAGAAACCAGTGCAGAGTGACTCTGCACTGGTTTCCGACTGTGGAAATCATTGGTGTTTTCCGATTGGTTCAACTTCTCATTGTTTATGCTTGCTATGCAGTTTTTATTAGTATTAATGATGTGAATTTTATTGGTATAACAATTAAAATATTTAATTATACTATTTTTCTCATTTTTCAATTCATTTTCTGTAAAATGAACTAAACACCAAAAGACAGTTTTCCATTATGCAGCTAAATACAGGAAAGAAAAATGACTTCTGGAAAATAACTCATTTTCCAAAAGTCACTTTCCTACTTTCCAAACAGACCCTAAATTACATAAGAGTGATGCTACAAATCCCTTCTAAATTGATAACAAAAATGACATGTTAACATCATTGGAAGAAGTACAAATTGTATTATTTCAGAATAAAACATATCTTGTGACTATAGATTATATATAATTGGTAAATGATCACAAGAAATAAACCAGCTTTATTAATTCATGCATATTATATTCTTAATTTCTTATATATAGTTCTTTCATTGGATCCAAATTTCATAACCCCCATCCACTTCAAAAGCATAATTGGGGAAAAAAAAATGAAGTTTTGCTTAGTGTTAGCATTGTTTTCGATCGTGATATTAGCATCCCAAGCACAAGAGCAATGTGGGCACCAAGCCGGCGGAGCATTATGCCCAGGCGGACTATGTTGCAGCCAATACGGCTTTTGTGGCGACGAGCCTGAATACTGTTCGCCAAGTTCCGGCTGCCAGAGCCAGTGTTCCTCCTCCTCCGGCGGCGGCGGCGGCGGCGGCGATGTTAGTAGCATAATCAGCCAGGCTATTTTCGATGACATGCTCAAGTATCGCGACGATTCACGCTGCCACGCCCCATGGTTTTACACCTACGACGCCTTCATCGCCGCCGCGAAATCCTTCGGAGAATTTGCGACGACTGGGGATTTGGATACTAGGAAGAGAGAAGTTGCCGCTTTCTTGGGCCAAACCTCCCATGAGACTACTGGTTAGTTTCATTTTACTTTTCTTCCTTATTAATTATTGATTGTTACAATTAGAGCTTTCAAAATGGTTTGGCCCTCACCTGTCCCGTCATATAATAAGGGTAGGTTAAGTTAAGAATTTAATAATTTATGATAACATTAATTGTTTTGTACAGTTGTCAATTTTGATAGGTTAGTCGGTAAAATAAGTTATGAGTGTTGTAATAATACTTGTAACCCTTGTTACATAACGTTTTGGTATGTTTTGTAAAGGTGGGTGGGATGCTGCACCAGATGGTCGGTATGCATGGGGATATTGCTTTTTACGAGAGGGCACAGATGATCCTTATTGCAATGTAACTCAAGAGTGGTCATGTGCTCCCGGCCAGAAATATTTTGGACGTGGTCCTATCCAAATTTCTTAGTAAGTATATAATATATAATTAATGTTCGAATCATATATATTCACTTATTTTTGCAATTCAAATAACACCAATATTTCATTTTGCAACTTTTTAGCAACTACAACTATGGTGCCGCCGGGAAAGCTCTTGGATATGATTTGATAAGTAACCCGGACCTTGTAGCGACGGACCCAACGGTTTCTTTCAAGACAGCATTCTGGTTCTGGATGACACCTCAGGGAGCCAAGCCATCTTGCCACGACGTGATCACCGGAAAATGGAGTCCGTCGCCGCCTGACACGGCGGCGGGGCGTGTTCCGGGGTACGGACTGGTCACCAACATCATCAACGGTGGGGTTGAGTGTGGGCCGGCGGGCGAGCATGATAAAGAAGCGGACCGGATTGGGTTCTACAAGCGCTATTGCGACATATTTAGTGTAGGCTATGGTGACAATTTGGACTGCTCCACTCAAACTCCTTATAGTCCATAGGAGTTATTAGTGACTTTATAAAGAAATAAAATCATCTCTATGTCTTGAAAAAAAAAAAAAAGTAGTGGGGGTATTAATATTCCAGTAAGAATATTTAAAATAATATACAGAGTATATATTTTGCGTATACTTATGATATTATATAGTTGGTATTTCTATATTGTATTTTCACGTTTTATATCATGATTTGCTGAAACTTATTAATAATACTAGTTTTTATTTTCTTTTATACGTCCATTGCGCGACAGCTTTAATGTTCAATGTTTGTATTTAAATAAATAATTCAAAGTATATCAATGCAATATTATACATGAGAAGTTCATTATAGCTGACATTAAAATTAATGTTTACTCTTTCCTCAAAAAATTATCTAAATAATTATTGTAGTTAGTATAGTATTAAGAATTTTGTTCGATAAAAAAAAAAAAAAAAAAAAAAAAAGAGAAAATGGTCAAATAGACCATCGAACTTTAGCTGAAAAATCAATTAACCCCCTCAACTTTTTAAAGGTGCAATTACACCCATCAGCAATTCATTTTGATGCAATGAAGCCCAAAAACCAGTAGTGACCTGCTATCACAGGTCATTAGGGATCCGGTTACCCTCCGACAAAATTTTCAGGAAAAAAAGTGACCGGCGACCGACAATCACAGAGAAGGAGATCAAGGTCGCCTTCTCCGTAGAGAAGAAGACCACTGGGCAATGTTAAAAAAAAACGATGTCGTTCTGGAGAATAACCTTAAAAAAATAATAATAATAAAATCCCGGGGATGCCTAGACCGCCTAGGCAGCCAGCCGCGGAAGAGGCCGATTTCGGCATTTCTCAACGCGATCGGGCGCCGCCTAGCGCCTAGGCACGATTTTTACAACCATGCCACTGGGTTGCCTTCTCCGGTTGAGAAGGCGACCCCTTCTCCACCCTTTAACCATTTTTTTTTGAACACATCCTTTAACCATTTAATTATTAGCTTTTAGTCATTTTAGCTCCTAGCTATCTAATGGTTTTATAAAACCCTCATTGGAGTTGGGCTGGCCTTTTTGGAACAAAAGTATCGAGTATAATTATACATGTATAGTATGCTTGTTTGTACCAACCTACCAAGTAATGTGGGGATTAGGTATCAAGTACAAATTTTATATATGTACAGTATGCTTGTTTGTACTAGCCTACCAGGTAATATGGGGATTAGATATCATACAAACTATATATAGTATGCTTGTTTGCAGGAACAAGTTAAGGGCTCAAGTACAATCATGCATAGTATACTTGTTAATATGAACAGTGCCATTACTATCACACTTTAGACTAAACTTAGTAATTCGGAATTGTCAGAATTTTTTCTTTTAAAAGCAATTTTAACCATTTAATTATTAGCTTTTAGCTATTTTAGCTCCTAAGCTAGTTATCAAATGGTTTTATCAGGACCAAGTCCACCACAAATCGGGTACGAATGCATAAAATCGGGATAATAAAATAATAATATTATTGCTTGGGGCGCTAGGCCTAGAAAAGTATGTATAATGCCAAAAATAACCACCTAAAGAATAAATAAATAACAAATATTATAGCCCCGATGCTTAACTTCGGAGTTAGGACCACAAGCCACTGGGTTAAAAGTATTGTAAGGATCAGAGAATGATATCCAAATGAGAGACAAGAGTGTCATTTTTATAGTACTGAAACCCTTTCATGGTTTAACAAATGTTTTGTCTTCATTGGCCTCTCATCTTAGCTATATACATGTATCCCATCTTCACTCAACTCCCACTACTTTAATTTGCTGCTAGCACCCATCAACTGAAATACTAAATATGTATAACATGCTAATTTATTAACCCAGACGGAGCTTCTTCAATTCAATTCAAATTGTTAGCAATACAATTGCTCATTCATAATAATTAAAAGTTAAAATGACTAAATGCTAACATACATCAATAAAGGACTAAAATCACACTTTTTTCAACCAAAAAAAGGGGACAACTAGTTAATATAGCTTGGCAATTGAGACAATAAATAGATCATTTCCCTCAACTTGATTAGGCTAGAAGGAAATTAAACATACTATGTTACAGACTACTAGATTACTAGACCACTGAACACAACATTTTTTTTATTAAAACATGATTTAAACCTCCTAATTAAATAGATCGAGATATAATTTATCACCAAATTACACCCCGACCTCCATAATTAACACAAATATAATGCTGTACAGATTATGTGCTTTAACTACGTACCCCCATCCAATTTGACAGCACCTAATCTAACAACAATTCGTTTAGTCCGTCCAACAGCTTTATGAAAATTAGTGAACGTGGGTCCGACCGTACGATGGTCGGAATTATCTCAGTACATGGCAAACAGGCTCCAATTGTCCCGGTCCCGGTCCCGGACTTGATGAAATAGGTTTCCCAGCGAGCCCACTACTTCCTCTGACAATACATCCTCCTCCTGCTGCACAAAACCGTGTTTGGCACACATTTTTTGGGTATTGGATTCTTGATCCGATGAGAATATTGTGGGGACGTGGAAAAACGTTGACCCAAAGTCCTTTTGTGGGACCTCGTACCCCAGTCTGTCGCCCCCTGACGCGGGACTGGGATAGGCGGCGCCCGCGTATCCTTGTTCTTCCTTCAGGGACTTTTGTTCCAATTCTTTGAAGGAGGTTGCCTTCCTGTACACTTTGCACAGTACCACATCCTCCTACAATAACAGTATTGTTAATAAAGATTCGAATCCATAACCTTTGGTCTGACTCTGATATCAAATTGAAGTATGTGTTTCATTTCAATTAAATGCCTAAGTTGATAATTGGATTGCACATTAATAGTTATATGGAGTTGGATGTACTATACCTTGAGTAAGGTGCAAGTAGTATCAGAGAGTCTGAACTCATTCATGACCCAATCTGTTCTGCGCCCTCTTGGAGCTCTTCCTTGGTAGAACACCAGAGTCTTCCTCATCCCCAACACCTTATTCTTCCCTTCCGACGGCGAGTTGCTTCGAATTGGCCGGTCCGAGCCCGTCGCCTTCCAGAACCCGTTTCCGGTCGTCCGGTTCGCCTTCCCGCCGCCGTGCTTCCTGTCCCGAGCCACAAAAAAATACCATTCCCGCTCCCCCTGCCCTTCGCTCGCTTTCCCTGCACCCATATTCAAATTAATTTCTCACTTTACAGGCCGCCCGGACAATTCAAAAAACCTTAAATATACTAAGAACACGTAGAAATTAGTTTGAGGATGGAATTATTGGAAGTACCTGGGAGGTCCCAAGGGTCATGCTGATAGATGTTGAGGAATCCGATGATGTCGGAACGGAGCTTTTTGGCATTCACAGCACCCCGGAGATAGAAATTCAGAAGCTCTTGTTCCGTCGGGTGGAAACGGAACCCCGGCAGCTGCACTTCCATGTCGGAATTTTGATCCGATAATGTTTTTTTTTTTTTTTCTGTGTTTTGGGTGGTGGTTTAATTCTCAGAATCTATACTATTTTCTGCCCACTGTAGTATATAGGCCACAAAGTGGTGATGATATTGATGAACTATAAATGGTTTCCATCGTTTTCGTTCCATGTCCCCTTTAAATAACGGAATATTTGTGAAATAACTCTCATTTTCTGCCCATTACTTGTTAGTTGACTTGACTTGACTGACTTTTCAAAAAGGAATTTTCCATCAAATTATTTATTAAGCTAATAACAACTTGGGCATTTTTTAATAGTTTAACTTTAATTTAATTATCATGGTGCATAAAAATGTAAATATACCGGTATGATGCAATTTTAGCTATTTTTGCTATTAAAGGAGGTATAGCCATTAGCGAACATGATTCAAACTTCCAACCTCAACTCTTCAAGCATGGTAATACAAGCCCCAGTACACTAAGTTACTTTATATCTCATACACTACTTGTGAAGCATCTAGAGGGGTTTTCAACGCTATATAAGAGTATCATGTTTCACCTTTAGACATCATTTTTAGTTCATTATAATTCTCATAACTTGATGGTCACTTGTCCTAATTTTATACAAAAATATGATTTTGACCCTATAGCACATGCATATTATTTATTTATTTATTTTTTATTATTATTATTCTTCGTGTCGCCAGTTTGAACCTGATGTGGTATATACTCTTGAGTATACAGATACAAGTATAAATTACAGATACGAGAAGAAATTATAACATAGCAGCTCGGGGTAGTTAGGATCGATGATCGAGGGTTAGAGGGTCTCGAGCTTATAAGGATTTTGGAGAGAAAAATACTTAAAAGTCCATTCTCAAAGCATTCAATGCATTATTTATAGGAGTGCTATGGGAATACATGCCGGATGGTCGACATATGCGCCACGTGTGACACATGGACAAGGGGAAGGGGAGGGGAGGGGGGGGGGGGGGGGGAGGGAGGAGACATTGCTGCTACCTCCATGTGTGCAAAAGTTCCTAATGTTCGCATTCTCTTTGTGATCGGGTTGACATTGAGAAATAAGGCTCATCTCTCTAAGTGGCCTGGCTCCGGATAATCGTCTCGACTTGCAGGGTCGGTTTCGATCCCAAGGTTGGGTGAAAGGTATACACTAATTAGTATACTTGCTCAGCCTATGCATGGTGGTCGGGGTCGGTCTATGGAACATGATCGATTCTAGTCAGAAATTTCTTTCTGCACCTTAAAGAGTACATACCGAGTAAGTATAGGACCATACGTCCAAAAATATATTCTTTATCAGGATCGTTATTCAGGTATTTATAGTAAATTCGGTCCTAATAAAACAACCGATAATATAATCACTTTTATAAATTCTTAATCACTTACGCATATATAACATAGAGAATTATTGTTAAGTCTATAGTAGTGTCCTCTGTGGATCGACTGTGGTACAAAAAATTATTTCACATTTTGATTTCCTTTCCCATTATGGTACGCGACTACGCGGTTCCACACCTTTTTAATTTACTTTTTACTTTTTAAGCTTTGCAAAATGCAATAATGAATCACAAATTGACTTAAAAATCATTTTTTATTCACATATGGTTGAATAGTTTTTTACCTAAATTTATTATTACTGTGTAAATTAACTTTACTTTTTAGGTAAAAGGGTCAAATAGGCCCTCAAACTTTAACTTAAAAAGTCAATTAGGCCCTTAAACTTTTTAAATGTGCAATTACACACATTAACAATTTATTTAAGTGCAATGAAGCCAAAAAATAAATTAATGACCTGCTATCACAGGTCATTAGGGTTCAGGCCACCTTCTGGCGAATTTTCTGGCCAAAAAAAAAAATGACCGGTGAAATTTCCGGCAAAAAATTGACCGGCGAAATTTTTGGCAAATCTGGGTCGGTTGCTGGTCACTTTTTTTGTCGGAAAATTCGCCGGAAGGTGGCGTCAACCCTAATGACCTGTGATAGCAGGTCATTAACTTATTTTTGGTCTTCATTGCACCTAAATGAATTGTTGATGGGTGTAATTGCACCTTTAAAAAGTTTAGGGGCTTAATTGACTTTTAAGCTAAAATTCGAGGGCCTATTTGACCATTTTCCCTACTTTTTATTCTAGAGTTGATTTCATTTTAGTTCTAGTCCTAGATTTATCATTGTCAATTATTTTTAGTCATTTGTTTTTCCAAAACATCTCTGTTTAATTTTAGACTATGTTTGGCAAATCTAGTTGAAAGGTGAAAAACTATAAATTAGAAGCTAAAAACTGAAGAGATGTTAACTAGCGCTTAAAAGTATTTGGTAAAATTAGTTTTTTTGATAAGCTGATAAATGTAAAAAATACTAAAAAGGACATTTTTCTAAAATTTAAATGATGTGATTATTATATCGTTTTTAAAAAATTGTTAATTGCTAAGGGTAAATGATATCATTCTTCCAATAAAGGCACCCCGGCCCGACAGAGCATGCAACATCGTTTTTAAAAAGTTGTTATCATTCTTCCAAGGCACCCAGCCCGACAGAGCATGCAACTGAACATGAACTACAGATGCTAGACCGGTGCTCACTGCGCACAAGGAGCCCCACACTGCCGCTGGTGACACTCGAATCCTGGTCATTCTTCCAAAGTTTCACCTCTATGACCAGTTGAGCTACCCATGCGGGCGGGTAAATAATATCATTTATTTATGAACGGATGATTGCAGTTAGAAATTTAAGGAATTGCTGGGTGGTAAAGAGTTGCGGAAAAGGATGAATAAAAATATAGGAGAAGAAAAAAAGGCCAAAAAGATTTTAATTGGAAAGGGTAAAAGATGTCATTTATTTAAAATAGTAAAGATAAAGATAGAAAAAAAATTAGAAAGTTCCTAATTTATTTTTGAAACGTTACCTAAGATAACTCTTCTGAAATAAGCTCTTATTTTAAACTACCAACTTATTTTGAGAACATTACCAAATAGAACTTATAGTTTATTAGTAATTTAAAATAAGTTATAAGTTCTTAAAAAAACTCTACCAAACACAGCCTTATATTATTGTGGCATGACCATTATAATTTTATCTAACATGCTCATTGTAATTTGTTTTAACACATGATTCCAGAATATTCCATGGGTGTATGTCTCACGCCTTCGCACAATTTCAAGCGTAATTTCAAGATGATTTCCTACTAGCAAATAAAAAAAGTGTGTGTATATACAATTATTACATTATATAAAAGTATTAAGTCTTTTACCAATAAATCTTATAAATAAGTAAAAATAAAATATCTCCAAACAGTTCAAAGTAATTAAAATATCATAGATAACATTATTTTCAATAAAGTTAAAATTTCAAAAAAAAAAAAAAAAAAAAAAAAAACTACCCAATTATTGGTGATGGAGAAATATAGTTATTAGCATTTATCAGCCTTTTAACTGGCAATAATGGTAAGATGCGACAGGTTCACCTTTAAAAAAAAAATTATAAATACACGAAAATTAATTTCAAAATTTTACATAAATCATTCGACTATTGGAAGTTGACAAGTTCAAATTACTTGTTTGTCGTCATTAATGCATCTAATTCCGTTATATCAGGAAGCACAATTATGAGCGTGGAAATGCACGTTGTAACCCAAAAGGACTTTCGAGGATTTCTATTCGTTCACAATTATTATTAAGTTTAAGAATCATACATTTAAGAAGCTGGTGTGGTTGGGTGAGAGGGACTCATCCATCTTTAATTAAAGGTCAAGAGTTCGATGGTATATATGGAGCAGTCTTAAATTTCTAAGCCAGTTGTCCACCCAAAATAGATGCTTACAATTCGGCAAATTATATCATGGATCAGGGTTGATATAGCATTATAGACTCTGGATTGAAACAATGAGGTACAAAATTTCATAACACAGACACATAGCATACCCGATTGGATTAAAAATACGAGGTACATAATTTCATAACACATGACAAAAAATCATAACACATACACATTATATATTTACTTAATTATTTTTCAAATATGACTTAAGTACATAATTTGTGTTCATAGACACAGAATTTCATAACACAAGACACAGAAATTCATAACATAAGACACAATTACTAATTTGTTCCAGGTACAGAATTCATACGCCTAAGGTATAAAATTTTATAACGCAAGACAGAATTCATTCTTAAAGTACAGAATTTCATCATGTAAGACACAAAAAGTCACAACATAAAACACATGCACATAAACCAGGATCCATAGTGCAGTGTGAACCTTGGTCCATGGTATAAGGATTGCTACAATTCAGCGGGGAATTAGTCGTTGTGTCAGACAGTGAAAACCCTGGATAAACAAAAAATCAAAAAAAAAAAAAAGAATCAGAGCATATACTTAATATTCTTTTTTTTTTTCTTTTTTTTTTTTCGAAAACATATACTTAATACTCTTGGTCCATGGTGCAGTGTGAACCTTGGTCCATGGTATAAGAATTGCTACAATTCAGCGGGGAATTAGTCGTTGTGTCAGACAGTGAAAACCCTGGATAAACAAAAAAACAAAAAAAAAAAAAAAAAAACAAAAAAGAATCAGAGCATATACTTAATACTCTTTTTTTTTTCTTTTTTTTTTCCCGAAAACATATACTTAATACTCTACGACTATTAACAAAATAAAATTTATTAACTTATTTTGAATTAATTGACTAGTTAAATAGAATACGTTTCGAGAACTATATATACAGACAATTATTGTTGATATTATTAGAAGATGAGAAATTTTGACTTGGGGTCAACCCAGAAGACTCCAATACATGACTATCATGCTTATTCATACCCCTTTCCTCATCTTGAATTAATGCTGCACACTTGTTTTAAATTTATTCTACAGCCCTGCCCTACACATCTCTTGCTTTGATTTTTTCTAAATAATTTGGTCTCTAATCGAAAATGATAGACCATGACATTACAGCTTCTGGTTTATATTATCACATTATTATTTTGTCTTATTAGTAGAAAGACTTCAGCTTTTATGGGTCGCCAGAATTATATTTATACTTTTACGGCTTAATAATAATTTAATTAATAAGAGAATGCCAAATAAGCTCCTAAATTATTTAAGAAAAGTTAATTGTATATTTGAACAACAAAAAATTTTATATTAGCCATTA